CTGTTTTCTTCACCCTGGCTGGTGTGTTCAGTGGTTAGAGCATTGGCCCGCCCACCGAAGGGTTGAGGGTTCAATTCCCAGTCAAGAGCATGTACCTGGGGTTCAGTTCACTCCTTGCCTCCTGTCAGGGCCATGCAGGAGGCAACCATTCTCTCTCTCTTTCTCTCTCTCCCTCCCTCCCTCCCTCTCTCTCTAAAAAACATGGAAAAAAACATCCTGTGAGAATTAACAACAACAAAAAACAGTTTTTCTTCTCTTGCTAATCTGTCTTCTGTCAATTTAATTTGCAGGCCCCAGGTAAAAAATTAAACAGGATAGAGGAAACATGTTTGGTTCCCTGACGTTATCTTCTCTTTAGATGCCATCTCTGCTGCTGCTGGCCCGTTCATATTTAGGCTAAATGTATGAAAAGAGATTTGTTCTCAGAATTTGTAAGATGATAATGTTTACGTATATAAACTCCCACCAAAGAACAATTATATAATATCTTAATTTCTCAAGAAATGTTTTGCAAATAATATATTGTGTATATAGTTTGTTTTTTAATTTCAAAAGTTTATTAAGAAGCCTTGCTACTCACAATCTCTGTCATTCCTTCTCAGCTAATCTTATAGATGGAGACTGTTCTTCGAGGGGCCTCCACAGGTTCTCGCCTGGGAGCTGCTGGATTTCGCCCTCTCAGGCGTCTCTTTCCTCAAAGGTAAGGGAACCAGTCCCTCTGTGGTTACAGCCCTGGGAAATGCAGAGATGAATGGACCAAGGCCAATGGGCCAATGGTGTGGTCTAGGGTGGACTTTTTTTTCTCCTCAATGAATACCCCTGGCTAGGATGTTCTTCAGTCCCGTGTTGTCGCCATATCATCACTGTCACATTGCACAACAGAAACAATCCTTGTAATTGTTTCTTTCTTTTTTTAAAAAAAAAAATGCTGAAACCCTTTTCCAAAGACACACTGCGTTGTTCCATCTGGGAAACTAGGTGGGTAGAAACTCTGAGAAGTCACAGTCTTGACTGAGATACCTAGCAGGTCAGCCACTGACTCAGAAGGCGATTCGGTGGGCCTGGTGCCCATCAATCACAGACATTCCGCCTGGTCTAAGTTAGGGTCTTAGCATCTGTAGCTTTGTCAAGTAAAACTGCACACTCACTTGGTCATAGTCCCTACACTGTTTATTTGTCTGCTGGGCCCTTTGATGTCTTAATTATATCTGACTTGCCTAGATTTAAAGTTCAGTGGCCAGAAGAATCCAGAAAGCAACACAAATAACAGAAAAGCAAAATGTCCTGGGAAAAGGGCTTCCTTAATCAACTCATTAATGAATGATTCCCCAGAGCATGGAGGGGACCAAGAAATAGGATCTTTCTCCACCCCGACCCCACCTCCACCTCTTTGCTATAAAAACCTATTTCTTATTACTTTAATTAAGTTTCTAACATCATCCTGGGTGAAGGCTTTGTATTCATGCAGCCTTGCAGAAAATAGCCCAGAATCCCACAAGGACAGCAGTCACCCACCCAAGCCCACACCCCCCACTCCTGCCATTAAATGGCAATGTGACTAGCCTGGCCAGTGTGGCTCAGTGATTGAGCATGCATCCAGGAACCAAGAGGTCATGGTTCAATTCCAGGTCAGGGCACATGTCTGGATTCCAGGTTCAACCCCCAGAAGGGGTGTGCAAGAGGCAGCAGATTGATGTTTCTCTCTCATCAATGTTTCTATTTCTCTATCCCTCCCTTCCTCTCTCTCTCTAAAATCAATAAAAACACATTTTTTAAAAAGACTTTTCACATTCATCTGAGTATTTTTTAAGCCCATATTGTGTGCCAGCCTCTGGCTAAACTAAGTATTAAAGATAGTATTGAGAAGAAATGAACAAAAGACATGGTCCCCTTAAATTTAATGGACAAGAATCACATTAATCTGTAATCACACAAAGTAAATGTAAAGTTTCATCTTCTAAAGCTATGGGATGTGACTTAGTCAAGGAAAGCTTCCCGGAGGAAGTGACCCCTGAGCTGACATATGGAGGACTGGGGACCTTCAGGAGAGGAGAGAAGGGAACCCTCTCCCAAGGAGGAGGTCCCTCTTAAAGGTGCTGTGACAGGCAGAGCATGCGTGGTAAAGGGCCCGGGAAGGCCAGCGCGGGGGAGCACAGGGCACAGGAAGCATGGGGCGAAGGCAAGGTGAGGCTGCAGAGGGAAGGGGCATGCAGGCATGCAGGAATTATAAGGGAAGGAATCAGAGCCAGAAAAGGTAGCCGAGTTCAGGTGATACTGAAGCAATTCAGGTGAGAGAAAACGAGAGCCAAAATTAGAGTGGCAGCACAGAGAGGAAGGGAAATGGGAGAGCTCCAGAACTGGGAGGTAAAACCAGCGGGAGCCCTGGCCTGTGTCGCTCAGTAGTAGAGCATTGGCCTGGGCTGCAGGTTCGTTCCCCACCCTGGTCAGAGTGCAAGCAGGAGGTATCCAATTGATGTGTCTCTTTCACATCAATGTTTCTCTCTCTCCTCCTCCTCCCTTCCACTCTCTCTAACACACACACACACACACACACACACACACACACACACACAGAAAATTAATGATGGATTGAGCATGGATAATGAGGAAGAGGGAGATGTCAGGTTATCATTTTTAAAGAAACATTTTGTACTTCAATGATATTCACTTAAAATAGCTAAATATATACATGACAGGTATCTGGTTTCATAACTAATGCCCCCAAAGCAAGTTGTATCAGGCTCTTTCTGTGTGCCATAGTGAAGTTCTCAGACCCGGAATCTCTGAAGTGTTCCAACAGGTTTTAACAGTTTACGGAGCGACCATTACCCTACAATGTCTTGCTTCTCTTTAGCATAATTATATCAGGCCTCATGGTTCTTTAATGCTCTGTTTAAGTAACTGGCCCAAAGTGATGATGGAGTCATGACTTACTGTTAAAGACAGAACCACATAGAAAGTGAGACATTGTGGCTTAGGAAATCAGGGCACTGCTATTTCTAGACTCTAGGAGTTAATTTCATATCAGTTTACAGAGAAGTGAGACAATGTTCAAACAAAAATGTATTAGAGTGCTCAGGAATCACTGCTGAAGGAGAAAGGTGAGGTGCATGAACCACTTCACCAGAAATTATTTTTATGCTTTAAGGCATTTAAAGGTACTTCAGGTATTTAAAGTCCGAATGCAGAAATCAGCCCCATGGCATGCCAAGGAATAAAAATTCCCCCAAGTTCAACCAACACCATAAAGTTCATTCTTTTTGTTTCACTCAACACATATTTAGTAAATGAACTACCTTGGGAAAGCTACTTAATATTTTGGGTCTTGGTTTCCACATTAGCAAAAAGGGGATAATTATAGTACCTGTTGTACAGGGTTGTTGTAAGGATCGAGTGAGTTAATTCACGTCAAGTACTTAGACTGGCTCTGGTGCCTGGCTGCCTCTTAAGCACCGTCCTGGTCTGCTCAACCCGAACTAACTATAATCTCACCACATTTAGCCTTCTTTTCTCTTCCTCAGAGCCTTCCCATGTGCATTTTCCCTCGTGAAAATACTGTTTCTGGCTGGTTTATATCCATCCTTCATGTGTTGTCAGGGTAAGAACAGTGGGAAAATATATAAAAGCCAAAGCCGACCACACACACACACACACACACACACACACACACACACACACGCTTTCAGTGCTATTAGGGTTGAGGCAGTGTCTGCATGAAATCAGTGTCCCAACAGATGCATGAGACACTCGTGCAGGAAATAACCACACTATTTTCCTCTGTATTTACCTGACCTTTTTCAGAATATCTTACCCTATTGTGGTCCATGACATTTGGGGGTTGTTGCTTTTTTCAGGCAATTGTGAATGTATTAGGGAGGTTCCAAAAAAGTGTTAACCATAAATTATTAAGAGCATGAAAAAACCAGTCTTGTAAGAAACATTGTAATGATTAGAAGAAAGACAAGACTAACATATGACTGTGTGCCTGCCTTTAGAATTACAAGTCGATTCCATTTTAGGAAACGCTCTGTGTGTGGAAGCCAGAAGGAGTCAACTTCCTTACACAACAAGACAAACCATTTTTATAACAATATAGTATGCTGACAACTGGACTATTGGTATATAAAACATCTGGACTATCTTCCCTAAGATTTAGAACCTGGAAGCCCTGAGTTAGAATCATGGCCCAACCACTAACGAGCTGGGTGGCTCTGGGCGAGTACTTAATCTCTCAAAGTCTCCGTTTTCTTTTCTGCCCAATGGGAATAATATCTACTCCATAGGCTTTTGTAAAACTTATATGAGATAAACATTTTTTCCTGGCCTTTAGTAATAATTCAAAGAAAGCTGGCTCTGTTGTTCGCTCCCCTCAAAGTTGGTCAAATCAGTATTGTTAAAAACAAGACATGGGGCCCCAAATGGAGCTAGCTGCTTAGGCTAAGTCCCACATCACCAAATCAAGATTTATTTTTTAAATATATTTTATTGATTTTTTACAGAGAGGAAGGGAGAGAGATAGAGAGTTAGAAACATTGATGAGAGAGAAACATCGATCAGCTGCCTCCTGCACACCTCCTACTGGGGTTGTGCCCACAACCAAGGTACATACCCTTGACTGGAATCGAACCTGTGACCTTTCAGTCCACAGACCGACACTCTATCCACTGAGCCAAACCGGCTACGGCCCAAATCAAGATTTAATTACAGTTTTGGCTCTTCCAGAATTGGAATCTTAAACCAGTCCATCAGGAATTGCCTGACCAGCCCTAATTAGGTCATCTGATTGATACACCCTTGCTATCCCCTGAAGCAGGGGTGGGGAACATCCAGCCCTGGGGGCCATATAAGGCCTCAAAAGCATTTGGTCTGGCCCTGCCTAGGCATTAGGGGTGAGTTAATTAAATGTTTGACCAAATATAGCAGCTAATTTTAAGTTGATAATTTTTTTTGGCAGACTTTTACGATTTTGTTAACACAAATACAATGTGTACACAACCTGTCTATTCATTTTCTTCGCTGCATAGCCTGGCATTAGGATTGGTGACTCTGATGGCCAGCTGGGCTGCTCTTTCCATAATGGCTTTGCGGTTCTTTGAGGAGACATTGTGAGCAATCTCAGCACAGTAAGACTTGTTGCACAGCAGCAGCACTGCAAGCTCCTTGACGTTATGGACCAGAAACTTCCAAAAGGCACTGGGCAGCATGTGCTTTGTTTTCTTGTTGCTCCCATAACCAATGTTGGGCATCCAGATCTGGCCCGTGAATCTTCTCCACACCCTATAGCCAATCCCTCTGGATTTCCGCCAGTTCTGCTTAATTTTGACATATCGGTCTGACTGGTGCCAGATGAACTTCTTGGTCCTCTTTTTGACAATCTTGGGTTTCATGAGGGGCCTGAGGGCAGCCATGGTGCTGAGTAGGAGATGGCTGCCACATCCGAGGGCAGCACCGAGGAAGAGCAAGTTGATAATTTTGAATGGCCCTCAAATGATGTTATAAATACCCAAATGGCCCTTGGCAGAAAAAAAGGTTCCCCACCCCTATAAGTGACCTTGCAACAAACAAACCACTGTTTCACCTGCTGTAACTTCCTTGTTCCTGCTCCCTCTCCCTGTAAGTCTCATTTGGTATAGTCCACAGAGGGCATTCTGTCTGCTAGATTGGATGCTGCTTAATCCATGAATCACTGAATAAAGCCAATAAGAACTTTAAAATTTACAGTTGAATTTTGTTTTTTAACAGTACTCAGAAATGGCGATTAAGAAATACATCTTATTTCTGCATAAACTATATATGAGAATCATTGAGTGCAAAGGGTTACTATATCCTCAATAAAGTTAATCTGCAAATGACACATTTGGGAAAAAAAGATGGAGTTCATTCCAGAACAATCATTTTAAACAAAAACAAAAGGCATTATTGGTGAGTAAGCAGTAGGCGATGGGATCAATACAAATGTTTAAGCAGGCAGCAATTTGGCTAATTCACCTAGGTGACTGATGGGGAGAAGGAAGGTTGAAGAGTTAAATTTAGATAAAGAAATAGACTCTTCCTTAGAGAAAACTTGAACACACAATTGCACCACACATTTTTGAGTGAAAGACAGAACAGAAAAGATGTATGTCCTTGTCTCTTAAGGAAAGCTGAGCAAAGGGTACATTCTTGAGGGACAGAGTAAGTGGCGATGAACCATGTGTTTTCCAATATGACCTGGACGATGTGTCAGCACCTGCAGTGCTCCAAACCCTGGGAGGATCCATAAAGCTGATGTATCAGAATCACAACCAATGACAAAGTTGACTTATTTCTTTGACATCAATAGCATTGTTCATCCAGAACTCATTCCTGAGGTCAACTCACCTGATAGGCCTCAGCATTGCAAAAAGAGGGAATTCCAGCTCAAGGCTGCAATTCAAACTGTGCCTCTGTTAAGTAGTTTTGATTCTTAAAAAGCAACTGTCAAACCCTCCTTGAACAAACTTCAGTTAGGCTCCTCTGAATCTTCTTCTCAGCTAGGCCTCAACCTTTGGACTTCCATGTCCATCTTTGCATTGCCTAATTTTAGCAGAATTCCTGCTAAGTCAGTTTAGCAAGAGTCCCCATTCTCAATATCTGATCACCCTTGGTTATCTGATTAAACTCCTCATCTCCTACCCTTGGTATCTGATCACCCTGTCTGCTTTCAGCAAGATCCTGGTAAGTCATTTTAGCCAGAACCCTCCTTACCCCTGATGTTTCCCTTGGTCTTTTTCCACTCCCTGGCCCCCACCCTGCTTCTTAGCTATAAATTCCCACTCGTATTTGGAATTGAGCCCAGTTCTATACTGAGATCTCTCTTTTCCTATTACAATAATAGTTCCTGCATAAAATTTATTTTCTCCACTTAACTTCTGTCTGGCTCTGGTTTTCTTTAACACTTCCCAGCCTGGTCACTCACCTATTCCCCGTCTTGGCTCCAATTACTTCTGTTTCTCGATATCAAATACACCCTCAGAAGATGAAGATTCCCCACCAATAAAGATCTATGAAGGCCTGTCTATTTTGTTGGCCTAGAAAATCAAACCGAAAGTGAGGTTGTGGAAATCTTTGCTTTGTTTGAACAAATAACTCCAAATGACAACTATTATTTAACTGTTTATGTTTCCCTGCTTAAAGATTATGCTGCTTCCCAGGCAGAGCTCTTATACTCATTAGGTAAGTCACAGATACACGGCACCAAAGTACTTGAATTAATTTGACTAAGGGTCTTAATCTGCGTTATCTCCAGTTTCACTTCCTAGCTCACTTTTGCAGGTTCTTCAGCCCCTTAATAAAGCTTTTAAAAAAAACAAAAAACAACAACAAAAAAAACACCTCTTTGGTCTATGACAAAATGAAGCTCTTTTTGCATGATTTCCCCAATCCCCCTCAGGCCATCCATATTCTTAGGCGTTTACTACTATCTTCTTTTTTTCTTTTTTTTTTAATATCGTTATTGGTTTCAGAGAGGAAGGGAGAGGGAGAGAGAGATAGAAACATCAACGAGGAGAGAAAAATCACTGATCGGCTGCCTCCTGCATGACCCACACTGGGGGTTGAGCCCACAACCCAGGCATATGCCCTGACCAGGAATCGAATCATGACCTCCTGGTTCATAGGTCGATGTTCAACCACTGAGCCATGCCGGCTGGGCTTTACTACTATCTTTACTGATAAAATCCCAGAATCTTAGACTTTGAGGCAAACTTAATCTCTCTCTCTCTCTCTCTCTCTCTATATATATATATATATATATACACACACACACTAGAGACCCAGTGCACAAAAATTTGTGCACTGGTGGGGGAGGGGGTGGGGGGGTGTCCCTCAGCCCCATTTGTGCCCTCTCACAGTCTGGGACCCTTGGGAGATAACCACCTGCTGGCTTAGTCCCGCTCACTGGGTGGCAGATCGCAGGCCCGATCCCTTGGTGCCTGCCCCGCCTCCCCGGGTTGCGCACATGGCAGGGCCGATTCGGGGATTGGGGCGCCACCCCAGGCGGGTCGCACATGGGACGCCCGGGCAGCCGGCAGATGGCTGCTGCCCCCCCAGCCCCCCCGGGTCGGGTCGCACACGGATGCCCGCCGCCCCAGATCGCAGATAGCAGGCCGGGATGGTGGCAGGGGCAGGGGGGATGGCGCTGTCCCACCCTGCCTGCAGTATGCAAATTAGCCACCATCTTTGTTGGCAGTTAGTTTGCATATTGTGCTGATTAGCCAATGGGAGGTGTAGCAAAGGTACAGTCAATTACCATGTTTGTCTATTATTAGATAGGATATATATATATATATATATACATATATATTGTGTACACAATCTGTCTATTCAAAGAAATTTATTTCTTTTATATATATGTATATATATATATAAACTTTTGGCTTTAGATTCATAAAGTGTTGGATTCAATAGTAAGAATCTGTCTTTGGCTTTTGTTGTGCAGGCTCTTCTCTCCACTTTTGAGTCCCTTGAGCTACCCAGTCCTCATTTACAGACCTGCCCCTTCCCAATCCTTTCCCTACTGCCTCCATCAGCAGATTTTTTGTTTCTGTTTGAACATCTGTCTCTCTCACTACCCTGTAGGCCTTCACCCTTATTCATCCCCAGTCATCCACACTAGACATCAATCTCACATCCCAGGGCATCCAAGCCCCCTAGTTCCATTCTCAGTCACTCCTGACTCCATCCCCTACCAGTGGTCGGCAAACTCATTAGTCAACAGAGCCAAATATCAACAGTACAACGATTGAAATTTCTTTTGAGAGCCAAATTTTTTAAACTTAAACTATATAGGTAGGTACATTGTTATTAACTTAATTAGGGTACTCCTAAGTCTTAGGAAGAGCCACACTCAAGGGGCCAAAGAGCCACATGTGGCTCGCGAGCTGCAGTTTGCCGACCACGGCCCTACACCCACTAAACAATGCAACACACCAGAGGCACCACTGTTTTCAACATAACCATTAGACTTTTCAGAACTTAATTTTTCTTTCCATAAGCAATCAAGGTTTAGGTTGCCCATTCTGCCCAAGAGAAGTCTAGAAGAGACAATATAGGGACAAGAATTTGTTTACTAAACCTTTGCGAGCTTTACAAATGTCAAGCACTTTTTTCAGCTCAGGTGAGCCCTGTGCTGAGCTGGGGCCTCATGTTCTTGGCCTGTGGTCCTGCTGGTCTCCTGACAGGCTGCTCATCCCTCAGGCATAGCTCAGCCCTGGGAGTCAAGGCCCCAGAAGCCACCCACCCAGTGGGAGTAGCAAGGTTTGTAGTAAGGTGAGAGGGCTGCCATACTGAGTACATCTAAAGACCCTTCTGTTGTTTTCCTTCAAATAACTTCCAAAAGGGAGTATCTTAGAAAAATCTGAGAGCATTCAAAGAACAAAGATGTGAAAGGGGCTGGGAAATAGGGCCCATGAGGAATGGGGAAAAGATGCTATGATTCTTAGTTTGAAGAAAAGAAAGCCTAGAGGCCATTTAACAACGGCCTGCAAGGTTTAAAGGATATTCCTAGGAGGATGGAGACCAGCTGTTCACTGTCTCCAGCAAGGACAGAAAAAGGAAATGAGCTTCACCTTCCACGTGAGTGATTTAAACTAGAAAATATCCTCTGCCAATGAGCATATCGGACTTGGGGTAAATTATCAGGGGCATCGGGCCTCTACTCTGCAGCGCTTCAAAGAGCCACGGAGCCGGTTTTCCTGGACAGTCGGGTGCGATCCTGTCAGCAGGCAGAGGGGAGCCGAGGCCCAAACATCTCACCAGCCACATGAGCTTGTGACTTTGTTTTACAAATAACCCTCACTGTATAATAGATTTTGTTCTCTGGCATTTACAGAATTGAGTCAGGGGAGAGGTAAAAGAGAAGGCATGCAAGGAATGAGAGAAGGAAGAGCAGCTGATTCATTTTCCATGGGAGAAGGGAGACACTGCAAATAACTGAACGTAGGCCCTTAGTAACAGTCAATTTCTAAAGTAAGAATCTCACTTTTTCATATGAAAATTAGCTTCAATATAAATGCACTAATGGGCCATTTTTTTTCCTTTCCTTCTGAGTTTCCTGGCATCCTTTCATACACTTCCTTTATGCCTTCAATATTAGCCTGTTTCAGTTTCCTGCATAAGAGCCAAAGACAGATCCTTACTATTGAATCCAACACTTTATGAATCTAAAGCCAAAAGTTTTGGTAGAATAATTACCACCTATTAAACTCAGACCCAGCACCTAATTCCTAGATATTTTTCTGAGTTTTAATTCCTTAAGACCTTTGGGTATCTCTCCAGTCTTCGGACTTCCTCATTAAGTCCAACACTGGGACTGACTCCACCCGTCCCCAGAGGCAGCCACACCCGCTGGGCCTCGATGCTCAGAAACACGCCCCCACGTCTCCATGCT